AATTACGAATAGGTTTTCAGTGTAAGGGCTTGTGTAAGGGCCCTTACACCCTTACAGCAGTTTCAGATTATAATGCGAGATATATATTAACACGCTTAACTCTTCTTTTATCAACGCAACAATGATCAGAGCAAAAAGGCGTAGCGAGAACCCAAGCTTTTAGAAGGCTCTAGGCTGTTGTCATGACAACAGCTTTTTTTTTTTTTTTTTTTTTTTGGCATAATAATGCCCTTTTTTATGACATTTGATTCCGGCAGGCGGTTTATTAGGCAACAAGGGTGTTTCTGTGAAATCGTAGATTGCGTTACGCTCGTTTGTATTTTTGTTTAATTCGTTAATTTTTTTACCAGTTTTTTTTTTTTTGTTTGTTTTTTTTGTTGTTGTTTTGACATATATCATTATTATCACAGTTGTCTAACCTCGGAGTTTTTACCAGATCTAATCGGAGAGTACAAGGAGTTTTCGCGGAATTATTGCATTCAATTTTTTTCCGTATTTTTTCGTTTCTTTCTTTAATACGCTTGGAGAAACTATAACGTAAGTTCTGCAGTACATTTTGCGCGAAGGACACATCCCCCATAGTGTAATTTATTTGCAAGAGCAAAAAACACATGCATTTCTGGCGTTAACTGTATTATTAATATTATTTTATTTTTTGGCTTTGCTTTGCTACCAAAATGCAAATCGCTTAGGTTGCCCATGAGGCATCTATTATGTGGCCTACCCGGAAGGAGGGGGGAAACCCCCCTCCCCCTATTTAATAGTCGCTCCCCTTTTTGTTCTTTGTTTTTTCTAAAGCGATTTTGATAGGCTACAGTTAAAAGGATAGCTTGCAGGCCTTACACCCTTACAACCCTTACAGCCCTTACAGCCCTTACAGCCCTTACAGCCCTTACAGCCCTTACACCCTTACAGCCCTTACAGCCCTTACCACCCTTACAGCCCTTACAGCCCTTACAGCCCTTACAGCCCTTACAACCCTTACAGCCCTTACACCCTTACAGCCCTTACAGCCCTTACACCCTTACAACCCTTACAGCCCTTACAGCCCTTACAGCCCTTACAACCCTTACAGCCCTTACAACCCTTACAGCCCTTACAGCCCTTACACCCTTACAACCCTTACAGCCCTTACAGCCCTTACAGCCCTTACAACCCTTACAGCCCTTACAACCCTTACAGCCCTTACAGCCCTTACAACCCTTACAGCCCTTACAGCCCTTACAACCCTTACAACCCTTACAGCCCTTACAGCCCTTACAACCCTTACAACCCTTACAGCCCTTACAGCCCTTACAGCTCTTACAGCCCTTACAACCCTTACACCCTTACAGCCCTTACAGCCCTTTGACCCTTACACCCTTACAGCTCTTACAGCCCGTACACCCTTACAGCCCTTACAGCCCGTACAGCCTTACAGCCCTTACATCCTTACACGTTCAACTCCAGTTATGGGACTTGAATTAATTTATAATTGCATCCCCTGGATCCATGTTTCTTCTAGCCTGCATAGTATAAAGCAATCTGGGGACGTACGAGGTGCGAAAAAGAAAGAGGTACGTTCAGGAGCCCTATAGTCATGGGTTGCTAGTGTGTTGGACGAGAAAACTTTTTAAAACTTTCATGCTATGCTTGCAAAACTCGAAGAAAGTTATTTTTATCGTTCCCTGGTCAAATTTCTTTCATATCCCTCTTTTTAACTCGACAAGGACAATTTTTGTTTGGGGCACTAAGGCACTAAGTATAATGGACTTTACCGTAGACCTAAAACAGCATTATTCTGTTAACATAGCCCCTTCAAAAAACACTAGTAGGTTCCAAAAGAGACAGCTGTGGTAACAAAAACTTAAAGAAATGACAAACACAACAAGAAACAGAAAGTAATATCAATACTAGCACCTTTAATAACTTTTCAGTTCAATTTTTTCCATTACCAACACTAGCGTCACAGCCGTAATCTGTATATTACATTCAACAGGAACTCAAGTCCCAAGGTTTTGTACGTTGGGAATCAATAGATAATTAAAGTTAATCGCGTTCCTTAGAACGCACCCTCATCTGGTGTTCCTGCGGTATAAGGCAGAAATTTTCGAGCTATCACGGGCGACTGTCGATTAGCCGGCCCTATTAATTTTAATTTTTCCTGCGCCCGAGATACCCCTGATAACATTAATAGGGCCGGCTAATCTATGGTCGCCGGCAGGATAGCTAGAAAATTTCTGCCTTTGTACCACAGGAAGACCAGACTAGGATGCGTTCTTTACCAACAATTTCAAAGCGAGAACAACAAATGGTGAAAAATCAACAGCATTGTAAATTATACCTTTTAGTAAACTTGTCAGGCCCAGCAAGGGGAAAGGGGGAACTGAAATAGTGATATACCCCAATTATTTCCTCATAAGATACCACTATACCTCAACATTTTAAAACAAATCTTTCATACGGACTACCTAAAGGAGCCTGAAATTGCCTTGAAACCAAACTATACCTACAATGATTTGTAAGGTTACTAAGGGATAACACACCCTGATATAGTGATTTTTTTTGCCTGGTGCACTATATTCGGTCACGCGCGACCTTCTCTCATTCTCTCCTTTGCTGGCTGCACCCCTGGTGATCCTCAGTTGTGTATATATAAAACAATCGCTGTGTCAATGTACATTTATTTATATACGAGAAAAAAAAGTCGGAAAACTTGGGTCTTTATACCAAATAACAAAAAATCAGGAATCCGGAACAAACCGTAATGTTACATCAACAAACAGTATACCTGAATAAAATAGGTCTCAAACACCCAAATACCCTATAACCCTAGTCATTTTTAAGTAGACCCTAAAGAAGAAAGGCCGTGCTTTTCAAAATATTGGCACCATATATAGATAGATATTATATTCTAGTAAACAGACTTTCTTCTTTCCGTTGTTCAACTAATTTATAGCTGATTATATTAGGATGGAGGCTTTCTATTTGCCGAAGTTGATCCTTGCTCCCTGGCTGGGCCTGACTCGTGCTGTGTTAATACAGGGCTCCTGTATACACATGTGTATCCGGTTAACAATTTCTGCATCCTGGACACTTATATGTTTTATTTTGTTCTGCCTCGCATCTACAGTGTACCCACTGGCCACAGTCTACCTGGGTACACTGTTGCCAATCTACTCCCCCTGCCCTTTTCTTGCAGATTGGACACGTCTCCAGGTCTTTTGCTTGGCTAGTTCTGCTGCGGTTATTTTTTCTTGAACAGACTTCTTGAGGTTCAACAGTTACTTGCAGCATTTCACATCCCGCTAAAAATTGAACAACAAAAGCATTAGTAAACATTATTCGACGGTATTCAATTACTAGTGGGTATAGCTAGAAGGTGTTTTCAGGCAGAAATGGAGAGTGCAATATGCCGCGACAATCTTGTGGGCTTATACTGTGACCTAGAGTAATTGGGGCTGGAATCTACGCGGACAGTAGTATTTTCCGGCAATAGCAGTACGAAATAGTTTTTGTCATGCAACCTCACACCGGCGTCTGATAATAAGACGATTGTGTTTCAATGCCATGAAAAATCATGTAAACCTTAGAGTATTAATCAGTCTTAAACGGAGAGAAAGAACCTATGCGTCAGAACAGTAATTGCATGTGGGAAGCTAATAACTTCTCTTATTATGTACTATGGCCGCGGGATAATTTGTGTTTTACGTATCTTTCCCTTAACCTAACATCCGAAATAACAGTCATCAGCTGTCCTAACCTTGTACAATATCCAAACTTCTTTTACTGGAGCCTTGTTCTGTCAGGAGGTAAAAGACAATAGATACCTGTATTAAAATCTCATCAAAGGAAGACAATTTTCACTCACAATGGTGCTGTTAAATAATAATAATATAATAACAACAATAATAATAATAATAATAATAATAAGAAGAAGAATATGATGATGATGATGAGGAGGAACAAGAAGAAGATTTGAAAATTTTTAACGCTGCTTTTCCATGTGAACATTATCAAAAGTGTAAAAAACGCATATCTACACAATTGGACTAAATTAGCTCCTTTAAACGTGATTCTAAAATGCCTCATGAGAAAAAGTAATCTCGAACCCGTCGTTCGCCAGCAAGTTGCCATCCCAATCAGTAGCTAAGTTAAAGAAATCTGCTTGTCGCTCGGCACTTTGTATAAAATATAGATATATTTTTTTAACTTTCAACTTTCTCAACATTACTTCAGTCTCATTGCAGCTTAAGGTATTTCCTTTTTCTTTTTTCGATCCAATGTAGTTGTCTTTTGAGGTCCTCGTATCTTAAATTCAATACTCCCCTAGGCACTTAAACATCTCACCTTTCAATTTCGTCAGTTCATTTCTCACTCCAATGACCTCATTTTCTCTTTCTCTGATTTCCTTCTCGAGTATTCCTTTCTGGCTCTCTTCTCCTTTTAATCTCTCTTTAAGTAGAGAGTTTTCTTGCTCCAGCCTTTCCATTTCGTTGTTGAATTCTGTCCTGATTGCCTTCATTTCTTCCTTCAGTTTTTTGTTTTCTCTCAGAAGATCATCATCCCTCTCTGTATATAGTACCAGGGTTGAATCAAACTGTTAATGCATTGCACAAATACTTCGAAATTACAAGAAAGAAACTGGACTCACCAGAGTTTTCCGCCATTGTTTCTTTGGTGGTTGGTTTTACGTGTGCATCTGCTGCTGAGTTTACTGTTGCCCCCGTTGCTGAAATTTTACAAATAATTCAGTTTCTATTAGCCGGTAAATAAATTACAATACCCTGCAAGAGACTTCTCCTGAGACTTTCTGTGCAATAGCAACCTCCTTGCTATGTTATTCATACACTATTCTCTCGCTCTCTTTTTATTGAGAATATCCACGCGCTTACTTTAAAACATACATGTTGCGAGGCTTGCCTCACGATTCCTCAAAGGTTCGTTATGTGTACGTTACAGTTAAAAGAGTGAGATGTATCTCGTAACTGTTACTAGAGTTGTTCATTTCTTTTCTTTGTTCAGTTACCTTCATCTAGTACATCAAGAGTTGACTGCTTAAAGAGCGATCTTTTTACCATGACGCAGCTCTTTAATTTACGTTTAGAGGGAACCTTGGATGATGGTGACACAAATCTTTGTTCTGCACGTTTTATTCCTAAAACAGATGAAAGAAGAAAGTATCTGTCACTTGTATGTTTTTTCGGGCCTTATCGTCACGATACTGGTAAGGAAGAGGGTAGGTCCTTGATAAAAATACCCCTCCAGTTCGTTTGAAAGTTATGCACCGGCGTTGCTAAAACGAGGGTAAAGGTAACACCAAGGGTGGGGGTGAGGGTAAGGGTGTGTTTAAGGGTAAAGGTGAGGGTGAGTTTAAGGAGACGGTGACTGTAGCGATGATCATGCAGCTACCATTCATTCGTTACCCTTACTGGTTTTGTTAAGCACAAAAAAGAAATTTTCTCAGAGAAATTGCGTTCTTTTGCAGACAAAGGCTGTAGAAAAAAAATCTGTCCAAGAGTCGAGGAAGACCGGAAATCAATGACTGCAAATTTGTCTACTAATCTCCCTCAGGCCCCTGGTCTGACCTCAGAGTTCTCATATTATTCTACTCATGGAAACTAATTAGAGAGTAAACCTATCGTATGGTAAATTTCGCGTGGACGTGAATTTACTTCCAGCATTTGCCCTCTTTGGCTGGTCTAATTTCAAGGTTTGGCTAGCTTTCTTTTTCCAAACCTACATTAGTTTAAGATACATCCCTAACAATAGCCTCTTACACATAATTAGCAACTATTAATTTTGGATGGGAATGTGTAAAGTTGTCTTTGCTGCTATTGATGTACTGAAGAGGCAGTGGTAAGTTCTCCGTATAACCCCACATATTTATTATGCATACATGTTTCAACTCTGTGCATATTAAACTAGTTGCAAGAAAAAGCATGAAATTGTTGAAAGTATAATAAATGTATGGGGTAATACAGAAATCTGACTGAGGCAGTTCACAGAAGAGTGAAAAAAAATTTACTTACTTGCTTACATACTGTTTTGAGGTTTGAGAATATCATCTAGCCTCTACAGTTTACCATAAGCTGCTGCTTATAAGTCCTGGGCATATGCATCTTCGCAAAGGGTTTTAGAGGGGGTTATAAACGAAGGGGCTTATAACCGGAATAGAAAAAAGCACTTTGAAATAAGCTATACCTGAGGCTGATAAAAACACATTTTGTACTCAGTGGTGTTTTAATAAGCTTCAAAATGTCACAATAAATCAAATTCAATTCATTACATTATTTTGGAACAGACACTAGAGGGGGACTTATATCTGGGGAGCTTATAATGAGATGTGTATTTTGTTTACAGTCTTATAAGCGTGATTTGTGGCATGTTATTGAACATCTCACTGCCACTCCTACACTAGCCTCTAATCTTATTAAACGGCAAACTCAATGATAACCTCAATTCCTCTTGTACCGTACACAAGATCAAAATTTCATACAAACGTAAGAAAAATAACGCGCCGAGCATCCGGTTTTTTGGCTCTAGTTTCACCCACCAAGAAAAACTGGATGAAACTAGAGCCAAAAAAAAACCGGGTGCTCTCCCGGGCTATTTTCTATAGGCTATAGAGAAAACAGTGTAGTCTGAGACATAATATGGTTTCTGTAAATTTATTATTCATATTTATTTTTTAGTACAAAACATGTGAATATCAAGAGAAACTTTATGGCAACTCTATAATAAAGACTCAGAAATAAAAATAATTTTTTTAACAGTCATTTTGCTCAAGATTAAATTAAAGGCTTTGAACCAATGAAAAAACGATTTTTAGCTTAATAAATTATTCATTTGTTTGAATGGAAATGAGCCAACTAACCTCAGAATATCTTTCCTCTAAAAAGCCTGGTTGGTCAGTCATGTTTCAAAATGTTGTAGTGTTCTCAACCCGGGACAGAAACATGAAAAAGTTGGAGCTATTTACCAAGGTGTGTTCTGCCTTGGAGAACTCATTTGTCTATGTGTCTTTTGTTCAAGGCCATTTTGCGCATCGGCAAGTGCACCGCTAAAGCTCTTGTATAGTTGTAAAAAGGCAAGTGATCCTGTCATCACAATTATTGTGCTATATTTGCATTGGCCTGCCATGGGACTATTGAAAAGGAAAACTATCACTGGCAGGACATAACACTCTTAGTGGAGAGCAACTGTATGGATATTGATATAAAAATGCCACTAAGATGGTACTTTCTGTACCATGTAAAATGAGGTAACAAGAAGATCCATCCATACATTCTAAAATCTATAGTCCAACTGAGTCTGGTGTGCATCATCACGTTGATATCTAGCATCCACTAATGAAGGGTATCACTGATTTTATACACTTGCAGGTTTCTCTAAAAATATAAATGAGATAAACACCTCAATCACAAAATATATAAAAATTATTTGGCAATAAAACAGTTTAAAAGAATGCTAGAAAAGCCATGAAAGCCATTCTTTTTTCACCTTTATGAATCCAAAGAACTGACATCTTGTCAAAGAGACCCATGGCAAGATTTCAAGATTTGAAGACCTTCTATTAATCTTTGTTAATAAGGATAGATTTTAATTTTAATCACTTTGTTATTTCTTTGGTATTGGCTACCCTGCCTTATGATAAAGCAAATGAAATTGATTTGATTGAAGATTTGGCGCGGGTAACGCATGGGAATGTGAGATGTTTTCATAATTTATAAGGTTTATTAAGTCTATGTTCTCATCACTCCATACTAGTTTAAGTGGAATCAAAACTGTATAATAATATATTGGGAATGTTTGAAGTATCTAACAGTGTTCAGATTAAGCCATTTTCCTTAAAAATCGGAATCATTAACCAAAAAATCCCTCTTTCAGAGTCTCCGCATTTCCTGAGTGATGCCACGTTTCGCAACATTCTGTAAGACTTATCACAAAACCGCCAAAGTTGATCGATTTCCACGCCTTCAAAATGTTCAAATTCCTGGGTCACTGTGGGTCACTTTAGTAAAAATAAGAAGATAAACCTCTGAATTACTTAAATGGCGGACTTAATTAAACAATACCCCACTTTGACTAGAAAAGAAACTACAAACATGTTTTCGGAACCATTCCTTGGCAGTGAACGATGACAGATCAGGATATCACAATTCAAATACGAAAAAATATACGTTTCAGAAAAAATACTCTTGTAAAGCTGGCTTTTATGAAAAGATAAAGAAACAAAGAATGTATGAATGGTCTTACTTACCTCTAGTTAGGATTCTAACCCGGTAAAAATGTCACACAAAAACACCGTAAAAACACGACGTGCCAAGGAAAACTCCGCCATCTTGTAAGAAACACAACCGCAATGCACTGTGGGAAGACGTTCACTCCTCCTCTGGAAATTTCGAACCAAAATTTTCGTGCTAATTATATGAATATTCCTTTTTTATGGGCTAAGCCGCTGTCACATACGGCCGAGTGCGGACTCAATGTCACGATACACAAACATCACGGTATTTACAGTCAAAAAGGAACCGCTGAACGAAAATACCGTTCTGAAATGTCTTAACGTGATTATCTCTCGAGTGAGGGGTTTTGCATGAAATTTGGACGATTTTTCGCGGAGATAATGAAAAGCGAATATCAGGAAATTTCGCCGTGGAGTCCATACTGAAATTTACGGTGTTTTCAAAGTTAAAAACCGAAAGAAATTTCAATCGGGAAGTGCAAAGTGTAACTGGACCTGAAAGTCATTAACTCGCAGAACCGATGCAAAGTGGTTGTACCCGACGAACTTGGACGCGAACAAGAACACTTTAACTGGGCTTTCTCTTGCGCTATTTTGGCTTGGCGAGTCATTACAGATGCAGAGAACGTTTAACATATTCATATACCCACCAATCCCATAGGCTTGTACTCCGGATCGAAGTTCTTCTGGCTTTATAGGAGAAGTATCGCTTTCCATACAGCGATCTTGGAATTGTTCGGCCCTTATGGCCAGCGCGCGTTGTACACTACCATCGGCTGACAGCTTCGAAGTTGAACAATTTGTCGTCAGGAACTGACCGACCTGCAAAATGGTAATAATTTCTATTCACTTGAAGTAATCAACATCCACTGTGCCACTTTTAAGGCTGCACGAAGATTTAAGAAGTTTGAGGTGTTGGGTGGTAAAAAAATTTTAAGTCTGACATATTTTTTTTGTTGAAATTCCTCAATATTTCTCGCAGTTAGTTGCCTGAAGGTAAGTTCAGTTCCAGAGGGTGACGAATTTTCCGTCTGGTTAGAAAAGATGACCTACTGTTGATATTAATTACTTTGTATCTTTAATAAATGCTTCAAATTACTTCACCTTAACTTCTCCCCAGTCAAAGTCCTGTGATTAGAACCTCTTGTAAAGAGACACCTAGCTACTGCAACCGCTTCGTTTTTTTTTTTTTTTAATTTTACGACTGTTTTGCTTTACCGTGTTAGTGTCCATCCCTTGTACTACTATCTCCATCTTGTCTCCAAGTCTGTTCACGAAGGCTTCTCTTCCTTCGACAACATCGTGGGATGTCATGAAGTCAGATGCAGAGGATTGTACGAAGACTGCAGATTTCTGATAATGCAGGACGTGAGGAGAGACTTTATTCATAAAAAAACCAATAACCTGGTCATCTGTTATTGAGGAGGTAAGTTCCTGCATCTGTCAAATAAGAAAACGTATTTTAAAAAAAGCCTACTAACGCAATTTCTAAGATTTCCACCACACTGTCCATGTCTGGAGTAGGTGTTCAGTGTAAAAATTATACAGCCGCTGAAACGGCCCTTCAATTAGATAATGTGCATCAAGGACATTCATTTTAGAAAGTTAAGGCGTCTTGCGCTTTATATTTTGTATTGAATGTTGGCTTCTGTATAAAATCATGTCAATTTTCAAGGTTCGTTTCTTGATAATTTTCTTTTTAACTAGATCATCTGCCTAGCAGCAATCAGCGCATTATTTTATAATAATTCCTTATAAACAAAAATTAATTCTACCAGTTAATGCCGGATAAGCGAAACAAAAATGACCTGTCCAGCACTATACCTTCCTGGCAGCCAGAAGTCCACAAGCCCACATTTTGGAGAATCGCGTTCCTCTCCCTTCTTCTCCAAATCCTTTGAGAACGATTCCCACACACTCATTATAGAAGTCTCTTCCCTCTTGTGTCAACACCCATTCCCCCAGAGCAATGACCTTTCCAACAACAGAGGAGACTTTATTTATCAAACAATCGAACATCTGCTGCCAAATAGAAGCTTCCTCATCTGAAATAGACCTCTTGACGCTTTCAAATGGAATGAAAATAATGCGTGACATCAACCTGAAAAATTCAAGCGAACGGTAACTTTGTAGAGGCATTGCTAGCCCCCCGAACATTACAACAGATTTGCCTGTAAATGTTACTGAGTTGATCACTTTTTGGTATACAAACCAAACACTGAAGACTTATATCACTCATTACCAAGCAAAAGCCTTTGGCTCTTGGCTTTGGCACTCTATATTTCTAATGAAAGCAGCTTTAGAGTAATCAACCCATTTGTCATTTTTTTGGCCCCCCATTGCCAGAAATCATGGACATTTTAACCCCGCACATAATCGTACGGCGGTGTGTTACATTACCCTGCAATGTCCTGTGCAATGATTTGAATTTGCCAGCTTCAGAAGGACACTTTCAAGAGGGTAACAAAGAGTTTATGCGTGACGTGGGCAAATTTACATAATACGAAGCAACGTGGTCCGTGACATCATTTATGGATAGCAGGCGCACAATGATTTATCTCTGGGACCTAGAATTTTCCCCATCAAACACTGCCATTAACAAACAAAATGGCTTCTCGCCGTACCTCGAGTTAGTCTCCTCCTTAGCAAGAGTCCGTAATAGCAGAAGTTCATTTCAGTCAAACTTTTGCAATAAATTTTTGGCCGGTATTTAATCGCTGTCCGTATTATCAGGCTGTCCATAGCGAGGGGTCAGCAAGGCCAGAGTTGACTGTATCAGGCCGAAACCAAATGGGGTTTACAAATGAGGTTAGATACATCATAAAAATTCAATACTTTTCTATTCCAAGATTATGATTCTTAATATAACAGTAACAGTGACAGTGGTCTTGTTACCTATCACGTTCTGGTTTAGAGAGCCATTCAACAACATGATGATTGATAGCGAAAGTAGGGCAACACCGTGGCGTCCATTCTTCATTGCAATTAATGTTGCTCCCTTCATTAAAAAATTTCTTGGCAGCTTCACCCACATCTTGGGGCTTTGTCGGGTCATCCACTACATAACCAAGTGTAGTAACACTTGCCACCTTTCCACTAACCTTGAAATAAAGTTAAGATTACAAAATCTGTTAATTTTTTCCCCTTTCTCAGTATGACCTACACGTATTACTCAGCGGTAGATGGTGCCAGATGCTTAGCTATAAATGAGTGACAAAAGAGTTGTTAGCTACACTTTGCTCAATGTAGCCAGGCAAATCCCTGCTTGTAGTTAAAACTTTTATGTAAAAAATAATTCTTTTTTATACCTTCTCAGATACCGAGGCAAAGAAGTTGTGTTTCCATCCACCAGTACAAGCAATGCCCACCTTGCATGCGGTTGATTTTCCGCAGTCGGGGTCTCCCACTGCAGCTGGCAGGGGACAAGATCCTGCCAGCGTCTGCCACTATAAAGTGAGAAAAAGGAAAAGTTGCTCTATGATTTACAGAGAAAGAATAATTAATGTAAAATATAAATTTGAGTTGTCACTTGATCACATTATAATTTTTATCATTGCTTACCCATAATAAGCTTAGCAAAGGCAACTACTTTGTTGTTGTTAAGGGAAAAAAGATTAGGGGGTTCAAGGATGAAAGGTTAAATCTGTGAGCTCCAATGTTAAACATTAAGCATTTTCTGCAGGATAATATACATATCATATATATTTTGTAGGTATTTGAATAACAAAAGAAAGTATTGTGCTTATAACTAGTTCTTTAAAGGATTCTGACAAGTAATTGATCAGGTATTCGGAAGATGTGCATGAATTGTCTGTACTTATTAACATGTCCCCAAACTTACCACATCATAATGGGATATGATGACACTCATTGACAGCGTAAAGAAGGTAGATAAGAAATTCCCACTCTCTTGATCTTTCAACTTTGAGATGTCTAGTCCAGCGCCTCGAAATACTTCCTCGACTGTATTGAAAAGATGAGGATCATTACTTGTCGCTTGTTTTAAGGAGCCATTGAGAAAGTGGCACATAATATCGAAATAGGTTGTAGTCAAAGGTAATTGAATTGACGCTTTCCGAGACTCATGAGCTAATTCTTTTCCCCCATCTTTGACAAGGTGGCTGATCCACTTAAAGCCATAATCTTCCGGGTTCACCAGATTCCCTTTGGCATTGATGAAAACATCTTTGTTTAAGGCCCAGATAACGGTATTGCGCTGCGAGTGTCTGTTTTTCCCAACTATGTAAACTGCTTTGGGAATGTCATCGGTAATGGGTACACTGGTTTCCAATTCAGCAAGCAAGGCTTCCAGTTGAGTATTACTTAGTTGAACACTGTATGTTCTAAAAAAGTGGTCATTTTCTGTTGAGTTCAATACTCCAATGAAACGTTCCACTTTGGTTTTCGCCACTGATTTAGCATAAAAGAATTCCCTTTAGAAACAAATAATAACAAATATTATGAGTCAGTACCTTATTAGCCCGGGAATAAATTGAGAAATATTTTGAATAATTGAGTAATGTCACTTAGGCTACAATATTAGTGGAAGAAGGAGAGGGGTTATGGGAATTCAAGTTGGAGTGGCCATGGGGTAGAGTAAACGTAACCATAAAATGTGGCCATAATGGTTTTGACAGTAGTTAAAAAGATGCTCTCCCATTTCCTCTCTTGGGATGTTCCACATCCTCTCCTCACTCTGGGGTGGATCTAGGGGGAGGGTGGTGGGGGAACACCTCCTCCCCCCCTGAGCCCACCTGCAAGTAATACAACTGTTATTTTGCAAAATATGGGGTTAGGTATTCTCGGCAGTTCATATATGTTATTGCCTAATCTCATACCCAGATCTCATTCTGTTTTACACTCCCTTGGCCGTGGGAGATCTGGGTACGAGATTAGTTATTGCCTAATCAAAAGTCTTCTTCTTCATATTCCTTTTTAAGTCACCATTCCGTTACGTAATTCCTTAGTGGTGCACCCCCTCCAAAGAAAAATAAAGGATCCACCCCTGCCTCACTGCCAGAGATGACAGCTATTTGAATAACAGGGTTCGGTTTTCCCAAGAAGCCCACAAATTTCCTCCCCGACAGTTTTATTAACTGCCCCACCACACCCTGGTCTCATTGATCACGCTTTAGCAGCTTTCAAATATCTCAGATTTCTTCTAGGTTTTTCTGTCCAAAACCATTGGCTCACAAAGAAAGTATTTCTTTTTTAACTCTTCAAACAATGGATTGACGTGCGCATTGATCACCATTACAGGAAGCAAAAAATACCGTTGGGGTAGGGTGGTGATGTAGCGTAAACCGTACCTATCTTTTTAAAGCATATGTATTAAAAATATTCTTTATAGAAATATCTAACTGTTTAATTCAAAATAGGCATATTTTAGAGTGAAATATTCAACTGAGGTGAACGATGTTAATCGCTGTAGAAGAATCAACAAATGCCCCACCCCCGGGCAGAGGTTTTCTTACAAATGGACCGACAAAATGAGAAATGCACGTCAGATAGGCTACCTGCGCGCGCGAATTTTCTTCCCTCCACGCTCGCTTGCGGGGTAATTAGCCGCGTGGAAAAACAACTCAAATTCTTCTTGCTTCCAGATAAAATTCTCCTTTTGTTTACCCGACAGAATCAAATATAGTCAAATTTAACAGATCGGCAAATGGGACATTCTAACAGTTAGGGCCGGTTATTTAAATAACTTAAGGCGCTGTTTAACAAATCTTTTGACCACCAGGTCTCTTCCTTAGTGGGTTATAGAAGATAAATGCTTTTCTGGTCCACTCTATATGCCTTCCTAAAACTTTGTCACAATAAATAGTGTTTAAATAAAACTACTGGGCTTAGAACGCGGTTTTGTTAAACACTGGCTAAACTACGTTTAAATAACTGGCCCTTAATCTCTAAAGACGCACTTACTTTTCATGACCGTCTTTATGTATGGCTCTCCCAAGGTATCCTGACATTGATCCTGCCAAAACCGGCGAAACTAAGCGGAAAGTACAGTTTGAAAGTGCCATGAACACTGATCCCTTCTTCACGCCATAGCATCCATTTTGGCACACAATCCCGTAAGCCGACAT